GGAGAGAATGTTCCAGGCAGAGGGAACAGCATGTTCAAAGGCCAGGAGGTGACCATTCGAGTACTCAAGTTCATTGACAGGCATAGGGGCTGTGAAGAGAGCCTGGAGGGGCAAGCAGGGGACAGATGAGGCAGGTCCTTGCAGGCTATGGTTACCCTAAGAAAAATGGGGAGCCATGGAAGGATTTTAAGCAAGGGAGTGACAGGGTAAGACTTGCCTTTGAGGACATTACCTCTGTTTCAGATACAAAGAATAGAGTTGATGGAAGGCCTGGCCACAGGGAGATGGGTCAGAGGTAAGAAATGATGGTGGCCAGAAGGCATGGTGGTGGTAGGGGGGGATGACTCCTGTGGGAAATCTGGCCTGAGGAGGCCCTGTTTGCAGACAGCCCCGATCGGAACCCCACATCTGGATGCCTCCTTCCCTCCTCCCACCCTCTGCTGAGGTTACTGGGAAATGAAGAAGGATCCCTGGCCGCTGACTCTGGTCTTTGTCCTCTGTGCAGCCCACAACCTTCTGAAAGAAGAGCATTATATTTAACGAACACTTAACACATCACTTGGGAAAGTCAGTTGCTGATTAAAGTAAAATCCTACCCAACAATCAGTCTCCTTTGTAGTTAGTGCGGTTGTGTGATAGTTGGTCAGATCATCCTTGCAAACTTTATATAGTGTATAGCGGGCTTGAAAAAAGCTAAACTCATAAAAAAAAAAAAAATGTCTAGGGCCCTCCTGAAAGTTTCTTTGACTGGGTTTGGCAGTGAGGATGGGCCCATTAATTCCAGTACCTCTTTACCTGTTTAAGGGGAACCCCACCCCTACCGGCCCCTCCCAGAAGGTTCTCTTTCAGTTATCCACTCCCCTCTCTGTATTTTCCTCTCTCTCTCTTGAGTGGCTCTTTCCTCTTGACTCTCATCTTGCTAAGACTCTCCAGGGACCCTGCCTCTCCTGGGCAGGGGTCTTCTCTCAGCCTGTGCCTTCCCAGACGCCTTCCTGCAAGGAGTGCTCCACCCCTGCTGGGTGTGCTCCCTGCCCTCCCCTAGTCCCTCCTGGACCCACTGCTCTCCCTCTGCTGACCCACCGGTCACAGATACTGCTCTGACAAAGGTCACAGTGACTTCTAAATGCAAAATCAACAGGCCTTTCCGGCCTCCTACTTTCTGGACCCCTCAGTGGCATTTGACCACACTGACTACCCCCTTCTTAAAACCATCTCCTGTCTTGACTTCCCCACATTCTGACCCCTCCTCATGCATGCATATTTGCTGCTTCTCAGTCTTCTATGCTGGCTCCTTTACCTCTGCTCCACCCACCAGCCCACTTAGCCCCAAACTTTGGCACTTTCCAGGACTCTGTCGTTGGCTCTCCTCTCTCCAGAAGTGTTTTCTGGGTGATCTAAGCTTCTCTTATTTTAACTGGTAATATTTCTTGTTGGCCAAAATCTGTATTCCTAGCCTAGAACATCCCCCCTGCACACTAGGCCTGTAGAGCCCCTTACCCTTTTCCGAGGCATCAACACTGGGGCTTCCCATGAAGGATTCCCCCTTAAACTTGCTGCTCTTCATTTATGTCCTCCTTCTGGTGAAAGGCCCCACCATGCACACAGTCACCCAGTGGGAAACCTTTATGTCATCTAAGACATCATGCCCTGCCTCACCCACCCACATCCAATCCTGTCAACTCTGTCCTTAAACATCTCTCAGACTTATCCCTTCCTCTCTATCCTTGAGGTCAGTGGCCTCATCCTGGCCCTTTGCCTCCTACCTGGTCTCCTTACCTCTATTCTGCCCCACAGGTATGCCCTGCTCCACGCTGCACCCAGACCTGTCTCCCTAGAATGCAGAGCTTTGTGGAACCTGAGCCGGGTGTACGGGGTGGTCCAGCTGACTGCACAGGACCTCTGGGGCAACTCTGCTGAGGCCCCATGTTCTGGGGCCCAGTCCACAGCCTGCAGCCTTGGGGTGGACTCTGGCTTCCAGGGATAAACTCATCCTCATCAGGTTCACAGAGGCTGGGGCCAAATTTATTCAAAGAAAAATAAGACTTGGGGGGAAGTAGGATGTGTGGTCATGTCTTCTGAGTAATTCTTCAAAAGGGACACATTTTCAACAAGTTTTTAGGGATTTGACATAACTGTGAAGACTGGGATGAAACAATATCGGAGGGAACAATGGGACAGCAAGACACTTAGAGAAGGTGAAGAGAAGGTGATGGGGGTGGCACCTTTTTATATCAGGTTCCCGCACCAGCCAAGGCAAAGGGTTCTGCCTGGATCATTACCCACCTCCCCATATGAGAGCCTGGTGATACCCCACCGGAGTGAACATTCTTGACCTCTGCTTGGTAACACTGGTCAGGACAAAAAACATTAGCATGGGGCCGGCCCCGTGGCCGGGTGGTTAAGTTTGCGTGCTCTGCTTCAGCAGCCCAGGGTTTCACCAGTTTGAATCCTGAGCGTGGACATGGCACCACTCATCAAGCCATGCTGAGGCGGTGTCCCACATGCCACAACTAGAAGGACCCACAACTAAAAATACACGACTATGTACCAGGGGGCTTTGGGAGAAAAGGGAAAAATAAAAAAATCTTTAAAAAACAAAAAACATTAGCCATCTTAACGATGTGTTCTTAGCTGGGAGCCAAGACCGAAGGGCTCAGACTCAAGTTCCCAGGCTGGCACGGTTGCCTTGTGGCCAAGGCTGGGTCTTGACATTAGATTCTGTTCCCCCTTATTCTAAAGGTCATACGGCCCCTTGCCAGTGGCCCCTTCCTACCTGAGCTATAGTAGTTCTATTTTTTGCCTTGACTGCAAGAAGCTCTGCAGTCTCTCGCTTCCATGTCGCTGCTCAGCTCATGAAAATACTGGCCGTGAATTGTATTCCCCAACACTCGAGGGTAGGTATTAAATGTCACGGTTCTTTATTTTTCTATATCAGATAACTGGTTTTGTGCCCTCACTCACCCGGTTGGCGGGAAATTCAGTTATGGGCATGCTTGCTGTGGGTGCTCACCTGTAGGGTTAGGTAAGACTCTATAGTCTGGGACTTTGGGAGACAATTGGCTAGTCTTCAGTTGACAGCAGTCATTGCCATTATGCTCACTTTCTGCTGTCTGGAGACCAGCCTGGCCAAGCGGGTGATGGGAGGAGGGCCTGCCGCGCGGGTTGACCCACAGCCACTTTCTCCTAGTGCAAAAGCCCCATTCTCTCCTTTTTTTCTGTCCCCATGGTAGGGCTTGATGACCCATGAGACACTAGTGAAAGTGGTTGCTCTGCAGAGAGGAACTGAGGGATGAGAGGGAAGCGTATCTGTCACAGTGCAGCCTTTATGTTTCCTAGGTTGTCCACCAAACGTTTTGTGTTTCTTCACCAAAGTGTTTTCAAAACGTTTTTTAAATTAAAAATATTTAAAATACTGTTTTCCATGAAAAGCTTCTACAGAACATGAAAACCAGATCAGCCAAAAACAAAAAACAAAAAAACCCAACCCGTTGCCAGTTTCCTTGAGGACAGGGAGGGCTTGCCTCCCTGGAGAAGGGGTTAGTATGTTTAAATTCCATCCTGGGGGAAGGGGGTCCTGCCTTCTCACCACCTGGGAATGAGCCCCACTACTCCTTCTAAAGCTTTAAAGAACAAGGGAGGGGCCTGCCCTGTGGCCGCATGGTTAAGTTCACACACTCGTCTTAGGCGGCCCAGGGTCTCGCTGGTTCAAATCCTGGGTGCTGACATGGCACCACTGGTCAGGCCATGCTGAGGAGGCGTCCCACATGCCACAACTAGAAGGACCCACAACTAAAATATACAACTATGTACTGGAGGGCTTTGGGGAGAAAAAGAAAAAATAAAATCTTAAAAAAAAAAAAAAAGAACAAGGGAAAGGGAAACCTGCCAAGTTTCCATTTCAAAATACAGCTGGTTGTATAAACATACCCGGATAATCTGGCTTTTCTGCATTGATTTTCTGGTTTAACTCTCCCAGGTTTTTTTTTTTTTTTTTGTCTTTTTCTCCCCAAAGCCCCGCGGTACATAGTTGTATATTCTTCGTTGTGGGTCCTTCTAGTTGTGGCATGTGGGATGCCGCCTCAGCGTGGTTTGATGAGCAGTGCCATGTCCTCACCCAGGATTCGAACCAACGAAACACTGGGCCGGCTGCAGCAGAGCGCGCAAACTTAACCACTCGGCCACGGGGCCAGCCCCTCTCCCAGGTTTTGAGATGTCTCACTGTCTTCCTGCAATTATTACCTTGCTTACAACATGTACCCACAAGGCTTCCTGACCTTACTTCCTCTGCCTGCCCTCTTTCCCATCCCCACCTCACACCAAAGACGCTGACCTTTTGGCCCTTCCTTGCCTGTGCCAAGGCTGACTCAAGTTCCTGTACCTTTGCACCTTCTACTCCCTTTGGCTGGAACGTCCTTCCCATTCTCTGCCAGGCGAATGCTTTCTGTCTGCACGGTTGGTCTGCCATCTCTTACTGGGAACATCTTCCTGGGCATGTCCAGGTGGGAAAGGATTCCCTCCCAGGCCCCCAAGGGAAGCATGTCCCTTCTCCAGAACACTCAGTCTCTCCTAGTTCCCCTCAGGACCTGGCTGCCCCGATGATGGTGGCCTCCTGCATGTCACCTGGCAGAGAATAGAGCCGGCTTCGCTCTCTGCCTCTGCAACATTTTGGAGGAGGGCTTCCTGAAGCTGAAGGTTGGCAGCTGCTAGGTTAATTCCACAGCCAGTTTTCCAGGCCCCCTGGCCCATCAGTCCTACTCAAGGGAGAGACAAGGGGGTCTCTGTTATACTCTCCCCGCACTCCCTCCAACTGGCTGGCTCCACACCCCACTCACTCCCCTCCAGTGATTTAGGGGCTCAGGGCCTCCATAATGCTGACCTGGCTCAGCCTGTCAGCCCCCCAGCTCTTCTCAGGTGCTTTGTGCTCTTAGCATTACTCTCAGGAGGCCTCCCTTGGCTGCCAGTAGGGTTCTAGTTGACGGGGGGTGGTGGGGGGAGCAGGAGAGAGTGACTCATCAGAGGCTGGAGGGTGTCCCAAACTAGAGGAAGAGAGAGGGAATTTGGCTGAAGTGGTGTGGGCAGGTGAGTTTCACTTGCGGCCTTATAGCCAGGAAAAAGCTTCCATCTGGAGGGTGGAGGAAGAGCCCAAGGACAGTCCTTTTCTGCCCTTGTCACTTCTTCCTCTTGCCTCTCTCCAGCTGTGTTACCACCAAAACGCACCCCTCCCCCCACTAGTTCCCCAACTTTGACCCTGAGTGTTTGATTTGGAACAGGAGGACAGAGGCTTACGTGGGCCATTTAAAGTCCAGGTCCCTACCTCAGCCCCACCTCCCTAGCCTGGCCTGACCCCTGGCCCCCTCCAGCTCCACCTCTGCCACCCCTCTGCCCATCCAACCTTTGCCCTTGGCTGCCTGTCTTCAACGTACCCATCATGCCTCTTGCCCAGTAGTACCACCCAGAGACCAGGAACCTCCAGAGACTGAAAGAGGCATCCTGCACCCTAGTCCTGTCTGTCTGTCTTTCTGTCTATCTCCCAATCTGCATTCTGATTCAAGATCCTGACGGCGGCCCAGGAGCTATAGCTATGACTGTCTTCATTATTTTGTCCCTGTGTAGTGTTCTCATGGTAGGCGTGGGTGAAGGTGGAGCTGGGAGTGAGGAAGGAGTTGAGAGGGAATGTAAACCTGGCCAGCCTCCCCTCTGCCCCTCCATACGTCCCAGTGCCCAGCCCTGGACACACCCTGGCCAGAGCCAGCTGTTTGCAGACCTGAGCCGAGAGGAGCTGATGGCTGTGATGAGCTTTCTGACCCAGCAGCTGGGGCCTGGCCTGGTGGATGCTGCCCAGGCCCGCCCCTCGGACAACTGCGTATTCTCAGTGGAGCTGCAGCTACCCCCCAAGGCTGCAGCCCTGGCCCACCTGGACAGGGGAAGTCCCCCGCCTGCCCGAGAGGCACTGGCCATTGTCTTCTTTGGCGGACAACCCCAGCCCAATGTGAGTGAGCTGGTGGTGGGACCACTGCCCCAGCCCTCCTACATGCGGGATGTGACCGTGGAACGTCATGGGGGCCCCCTGCCCTATTACCGACGCCCCGTGCTGATCCAAGAGTACCTGGACATAGACCAGATGATCTTTGACAGAGAGCTGCCCAAGGCTGCTGGTCTCCTCCACCACTGTTGCTTCTACAAACACCAAGGGCAGAACCTGGTGACGATGAACACAGCCCCCCGTGGTTTGCAATCAGGAGACCGGGCCACCTGGTTTGGCCTCTACCATAACATCTCAGGAGCTGGGTTTTTCCTGCACCCTGTAGGGTTGGAGTTGCTGGTAGACCACAAGGCTCTGGACCCTGCCCGCTGGACCATCCGGAAGGTGTTCTTTCAAGGCCGCTACTATGAGAGTCTGGCCCAGCTGGAGGACCAGTTTGAGGCTGGCCTGGTGAATGTGGTGCTGGTCCCAGACAATGGCACAGGTGGGTCCTGGTCCCTGAAGTCCCAGGTGCCCCCGGGTCCGGCTCCCCCTCTGCAAGTCCATCCCGAGGGTCCCCGCTTCAGTGTCCAGGGGAACCAAGTGGCCTCTTCATTGTGGACTTTCTCCTTTGGCCTGGGAGCTTTCAGTGGCCCAAGGATATTTGACATCCGCTTCCAAGGGGAGAGAATAGCCTATGAACTTAGCCTCCAGGAGGCCTTGGCTGTCTATGGTGGCAATTCTCCTTCTTCTTTGCGAAGCCGGTACATAGATGGTGGCTTTGGCTTGGGGCACTTCTCTTCACCCCTGACCCGTGGGGTGGACTGCCCCTACCTGGCCACCTACATGGATTGGCACTTCCTTTTGGAGTCCCAAGACCCCAAGACAATACATGACGCCTTTTGTGTGTTTGAACAGAATCAGGGCCTCCCCCTGAGGCGACACCACTCAGATATCCACTCCCATTATTTTGGGGGACTTGCAGAGACAGTGCTGGTTGTCAGATCTGTGTCTACCATGCTCAACTATGATTATGTGTGGGATATGGTCTTCCACCCCAACGGGGCCATAGAAGTCAAATTCCACGCCACGGGCTACATCAGCTCCACGTTCCTCTTTGGTGCTGCCCGAAGGTACGGGAACCAGGTTGGGGACCACACGCTGGGCACCATCCACACCCACAGCGCCCATTTCAAGGTGGATCTGGATGTAGGAGGTAAGCCATCCTGGGGGGGCAGGGATTCCAGAAGAGGGGGCTGAAGTCTCCATGCCTAGGTTTAAAGATTGTCACTGAAATACTAAAAATGTAAAAGTATATGAAGTAAATATGAAAGTCATAGGATTTCTCAGAGATTTTCACCCTTCGTGATTGGTTATTCTTCTCTACCTAAAAAAAAAAAATTCTTCTGTATTTTTAAATATTGCATCTGCAGGTACAGAATTTATTATATTGTATACTATGTATAAATATGATATACTGATATACGTATTTAGATTTTTTAATTTCCAAATTCAGTTGTAATGTACATATGTTTTGCCACTTCTGTTTTTTCACATAACAACACATCACTCATACAAGCAACAAATATTTATGGAATGCATATTTGTGCCAAGCACTGCACTAATGTAATTTATCAAAAAAAACAACATCCCTGCTCTCAAGAGGCTTTCATTCTGATAGAGAAGTGGAGAGCACATGGAGAGCTCCTGGAAAAATATTGTGATAGAAACATTTTTATGCTTAACCTGCCTGCACCTCAGTTTATCCAAGTGTAAAAATGGCGTAACAGTGCACTCCTCATACGACTGTTGTGAGGACCAATGATGATTACTTTAAAACACTTTTTCTTTTGAAGTAGCTTTAGACTTACAGAAAAGTTGCAAACATTGTACGGAATTCCCATATACCCTTCACTCAGCTACCCCAATGTTAACATCTTATGTAGACGACGATCAAAACCAGGAAATTAATGTTATTAACTAAAGTACAGGCCACATTTAGAATTTCATTAGGTCTTACACTACTTTTCTTTTCCTGCTCCGGGATCTGATTCAGGATCCCACATTGCATTTAGATGTTCTATCTCCTTAGTCTCCTCCAATCTGTGACAGTTCCTTCAGCTTTCCTTGTCTTTTATGACCTGACACTTTAGAAGATATTGGTCAATCATTTTGTAGAATGTCTCTCAGTTTGAGTTTCTCTGATATTTTCTCATGATTAGATTGAGACTGTGCTTTTTTGGGGGAGGGGGAGCAAGAAAACCACAGAAATGACTTTATATCCTTCTTAGTGCATCGTATCAAATGGTATATGGTATCAATATGTCTTATTACCAGTGAAGCTGACCTCAAGCACTTGGTTAAGGTAGTGTCTTCTGGCTTTCTCCATGGCAAAAGTTAATATTTTTCCACTGCAATTAATAAATGTCTTGGGGAAATTACTCTGATGCTATGCAAATATCCTTTTTCTTTTCTTCTCAATTCTTGTCCACTAATTTTAGCATCTATTGGATTTTTCCTGCAACGTTTATTACTGCAGTGTTTCCCTACTGGTCATTAAATTTTTTTCCTTATTCTTTATACATTTATTAGTTGGAATTCTCCATAAGGAAGAGTTATCCCTCTTTTATCATTTATTTGTACATGTGATTATTTATTGACAACTGTATGAATTTGTGGATATTTATTTTATTCTAAAGGTTATAACCAATATTGTCATTTATTTTGTTCCTTAAATTGCTCCAGTTTTGACTACTGGGAGATCCTTCAGGTTGGTTCTTGTGTCCTTGACATGACTCCATCCTTTTTTGGACACTTTGCTTTCTGGCACCACAAGATGTTCCAATTTCATCTTGTATTTTCCCTGCTCCAGCTCTAGAATCAATCACTACTCCGAGGAGCTCTGGTACCTTTTACTGGAGAATAGCATTTAGAAGCCAAGATCTAGGTACCAAGTGTGCTCATTATTACTGGGATGTCATTGCTTCTAGGCTCTCTCACTGGACTTAGCTAGAAAATACATCTATGTATTCTAACTGATGCACACATCGCTCTGTATCTCTGTATCTAAGTGGTGACAACTCTTAAAGCACTTGGAACGGTGTCTGACACATAGTGAGAAGCAACAGCTATTGTTGTTGTTATCTAAGGAGCTCATTGTGTGGATGGACCAGAAAGAACTCTCGTTAATTATCACCTATGGGTAGAAACCCTGGGATACGGACTAGGTGCAGTGAATCCACAAAACAAAACTGAGGGTTTTCTTAGTCTCTGCTCTCCTCTTGTCCTTGAAGGTATGAAGGGAGCTTCTGGCATGTTTTGATTTATTGCTCTTTGGTCTCAGATCACTTAAGTTGACTCCTATTACGGGACCTAGTTAGATGCTAATAAAATCGTTCGAAACCCCAAAGGTTCAGGGAACAGACTGTGCCTTTGGCCCTGCTCTTAATTCCTTGCCAAGTCCCAAATGACAGGAAACACCTCCAAGTTCCAGCAGCACTGGGCCTGGGGCTAGCGGCTAACGTATTGGACAATGCAGATACAGAACATTTCCTTCCCTCTGGCCTGCATGTCCACTGTCCCTGTGTGGGGTCACTCTATGTTAGTCTCTTCTGTGTGCTGATGTGTAGACAGTGCAGAGCCGAACTAAAACCTGGGTCCCCAGCACTGCCATGATACTGACCATGTGCCCCTGGCGACAAACCAGGCCATGTTATTTAAATTCTCTAAGCCTCAGTTGTCCCATCTGTAAAGTTGGGACAACTGTGGTCCCTCCCTCTTAAGGTTATTGCACAAGTAAAGCATCGATGTAGGCAAGGCTCTCAGCACGCTGCCTGACAGAGCTCCTTCAGGTTCAGTAAATGTGGGCTATGGCTGTTATTATTTTCATGATAAGGCAGTTCTGGTGATGCCACAGGGCTTAGATATGAGGTGCGGATCCCTCCTCAGGTCAGAAAGAACCCAACTCTGTACCTGGCCTGCTAGGCTGCTCCGACCTCAAGTGGACCACCCTCCCTTGCAGCCCCTCAGAAGGAGGTCAGTGGAGGCCTAGTCACAAGTCCTCTGGGATTATTATCAGAGATCACGTCAGGGAGAAAGACCTTCTCCAAACCTCTGGGTTGGGAATATCTTGGGGAGAGGGGAGGGACGCAGGGGACACATTCAGTTCTGGGTTCCTCTTTGGCCTCCAGTCTGAAGCCAGATGGGGGCAGAGTCCAGAGGGGCCAGGGCAGCTGCATGAATGCCTGACCTCCAACCTTTCTCCCCACCCATGTCCACCTCACCCTGGCAGGACTGGAGAACTGGGTGTGGGCTGAGGACATGGCCTTTGACCTAAGCTCAGTACCCTGGAGCCCTGAGCACCAGATACAGAGACTGCGAGTGACCCGGAAGCTGCTGGAGACAGAGGAGCAGGCCGCCTTCCCCCTGGGAGGCACCCACCCTCGCTACCTGTACCTGGCCAGCAACCATAGCAACAAGTGGGGTCACCCAAGGGGCTATCGTATCCAGATGCTCAGCTTTGCTGGGGAGCCGCTGCCCCAGAACAGCTCCATGGAGAGAGCCTTCAGCTGGGGCAGGTGAGTGGTGGGATGTCACAGAGAGGTGGGGGAGGTAGACTAAGAAGGTCCCCGTGTTGCTGGGAACCCAAGCTCCACCCTCCAGGGAGGCTGCATGCACACACAAACTCATGCACACACTCTCATATACACACATATATTCCTGCAGCCACAATCTTAGGCCGCTCCAAACGAAGCCTATTGGATGGATGGATGAATGGAGAGATATGTGCTAATCAAATATAATAAATGTTAAAAGTAGTATGTACATTGTGAGTGTATGGGTGTTCACTATAAGATTCCTTCAACGTTTCTCTGTTTAAAATGTTCACAATAAACGTTGGAGGAAAAAACAAAGAGTAAGAGAGGAACGCAGATCTGAGCAGTATTCCCTAAACTTCAGGCGTATAAGATACTGAAATTGACTTAAGATGGCAATCGGGCCATGTCCGTGCATGTGCACCCAGGGCCCAGGCTCCGATCTGGATGAATGCATGAACAACCTTCCCACTTGAAATCTGAACAATGGGCCAGTTGATGTTTGAGATACAGGATATTGAACAAATGTGGGAACTCTGAAACAGAGAGCGAGAATGGGAAGCGGACAGAGAATAATTAAAGAGGCTTGATTCTCTGAGACCTTTGTGCTTATTGTGTTTCCTCTTCAGTGCAGCTTCAGGCAGCAGGACAGGTTGATGACCTGTGGGTCTAATCCAAATCTCCTTTAGGTACCAGCTGGCTGTGACCCAGCGGAAGGAGGGGGAGCCCAGCAGCACCAGCATCTACAATTTGAATGACCCTTGGACACCCACTGTGGGCTTCACTGACTTCATCAACAATGAGACCGTGGCAGGGCGGGTCAGTTGAGAGGGAGGAGGTGGGGGTGAGAGAGAGAAGCAGGGGGAACAAGGGTGAGCCACTTCACTCTCTCCCAAGCCGGATTCCTTGAGAGTCTTTAGAATCCACTAAGAAAGAAAGCTTTATGATTTCACATTTTTCCTGGGCTAATGATCTAAATCCTTACACACAAGGCTACCATGGGAGGCAGGCGTGTCCTTAGCAAAGCCAGGCCTCATGATCCTCTTTCTTCTCCCCTGCTAGGACTTGGTGGCCTGGGTGACAGCTGGTTTCCTGCACATCCCACATGCAGAGGACGTTCCCAACACGGTGACCGTGGGGAACGGTGTGGGCTTCTTCCTTCGACCCTATAACTTCTTTGACCAGGACCCCTCGTTCGATTCTGCTGATGCCGTCTACTTCCGGGGGGACCAGGATGCTGGAGCCTGTGAGGTCAACCACCTAGCTTGCCTCCCCGAGGCTGCTGCCTGTGTCCCCAACCTCCCTGCCTTCTCCCATGGGGGCTTCTCTCGCAACTAGGTGGTCCCCGGGATGGGGAATGTGGCCAGGGGCCCCAGGGCCAGGGTGTGTGAGGAGAGGGGGCAGTGGGCACTGGGTTGGGCAGCCTGGTGCCCTCTTCTTCCTCACATCCTTGAGGTCCTCTCCACTCCCTCCCCCAAGGTCCTCTCTCTCCCCTCCCATTGCCCTTCCTTGCATCCACGTCCCTGGAGGAAGGATCCTGAGCTGCGATGCCTGATACAGGGAGGACTGAGCTTTGTTGGCCCCAGACCTGCTGCGTTCCCATCCCAGAGAGGAGAGGATCGGCCGGCCAGGGCTCTGGAGTGATGGCCAAGCTTTTCTCAGAAAACTCCTGTTTTTTTCATCTTATTTTTTGAATAAGGCATAATTCATATATCATTACATTTACCCTTTTAACATGAACAATTCAGTCATTTTTAGTATTTCACAAAGTTGCACAACCATCACCACTAAGTCCAGAACATTTTCATCACCCCAAAGAGAAACCCTGTGCCTGTTAGCAGTCACTCCCTATTTCCTTCCAACCCCTTCCCAGCTCTAGGCAATCACTAATCTTTCTCTCATTATAGATTTGCTTATATTCTGGACTTTTCATATAAATAGATTCATGCAATATGTGGTCTTTTGTGATTGTCTTCTTTCATTTGGCATAATGTTTTCTTTGTTGTTGTTTTGCTGAAGAAGATTTTCCCTGAGCTAACATCTGGTGCCAATCTTCCTCTTTCTGTATGTGAGTCACTGACACAGTATGGCCACCAACAAGAGGTGTACGTCTGTGCCCAGGAACCAAACCTGGGCCACTGAAGTGGAGCATGCCAAATTTAACCACTGGGCCACTGGGGCTGGCCCAGGCATAATGTTTTCGAGGGACACCCATGTTGTAGCATGAATCAGTACTTCATTCCTTTATGGACAAACAACATTCCACAGCACGCATGGACCACACTTGTTTATCCATTCATCAGCTGATGGACATTCAGGTTGTTTCTACTTTTTGGTTATTAAGGATTATGCTGCTCTGAACATTCGCGTACAAGTTTTTGTATGGACGTAGGTTTTCATTTCTCTTGGGAGTATACCCATGAGTGGAATTGCTGGCTCATACGGTAACTCTACGTTTAACCTTTTGAGGAACCGCCAGACTGTTTTCCAAAGTGACTGCACCATTTCTTTTCTTGCTCTTGTGTATTGTGATAAAACATACATAACAAAATTTACGATTTGACCATTTTTTAAGTGTACAGTTCAGTCGTATTAAGTCCATTCAGAAGCTTTCTTAGGGTCCCCGCTCCTCCTCTGCCCCGGGTCTTGAATACGAAGATGAGGCCTCTAAAGACCAGCTGTTCTCTCAAGCCCCAGGCAGGTCCCCACCAGGCCTGTGCCCCGATCTTGGGAAGCTGCCTCTCTGTCTTCATTTCTCCTTTCTCACCCTGGCACATTCCTTCTCCTTCCTCCTCCTCCTTCCCCTCCTCTTGCTACTTCAGCTTCTACTCCCTGGCATTTCCCTCTGAGGTCCCGGGGGGATGTCCCTTCTACCTCAGGTTCTGTAATCCATGCCCCCACATCGCTCAATTCTGGTGTCCTCCTCTGTCCCTGGGCTGGGGAAGCCTTGTGGGGCTGTCTTGTTGGCGAGAGGGACAATCCCTGGTTGTGTCCTTATGGGAGACATATGTCTCTGGACAGATTTCTTCATCTTGTCTCTCTACCTTTCACTATGAGAACAAAAACGTTCCTGCTGACATCTTGTCATCTGTGTGCACTGCCAAATAATCTCCTTCCGAGTTCTCGCCATTTACATAGAATAGACTGTGTGGAGTACGCTTTTGAGAGGGGGTGGGATGGTCAAGTGACAGCAGCAGGTCAGGGGAGTTTGTAGGGGAAACGTTGAAGAGTCATCTGTTCTCACGGCCGTGGGTGACAGTGGCCTCCATTACTCTGCAGCAGCCAGCATGGGTGATCAGAATGTCATCAAGGGTAGGGACCAAAAAGCCTTAGGAGCTACGGGAACCACGTCAGGAGCTGCTCCATCAGGGGTGGGCACGCGTATGAGCCAAGGGCCTCCTGGTGGGCATTGGCCTCCAAGGCTTCAAATCCTTGCTGCCCTTCCTGAGATGTGGACTTTGGACGGGCATAAAGAACTGGCATATTTTCCAGAAAGGAGTGTGGGGCCAGCATAAGGTGGGGAGGAGGTAGGGCTTAAAGACCAAGCTGCCTCAGGAGCCTCCAGGCCAGGGAAACCCATCTGATAGGCAGGGTCTACACTTCTGCTTCTGTGGCTTTCCCACTTCTGTCAGCGTCTTTTCTGGAAGAGGGGGCTCCAAAGTCAGAAAGAGAGGGGGATTTGTCCTCAGTGGGAAGCCCAGGCCACCAACAGAGGCCTAGGGGAGGGCCCTTACTGGGCAGGCCTGGCAGGAGAGGAGTTCAGGGCACAGAGATTTGGGTCCAGCTCAGCTTGACCAGAGAGAAATGGCAGACCAGGGGCTCAGACACCACGTAAGTCCTGTGGTTCCCTTGTGAACTGCTCTTACCCCCAGTCTCAACCAGGTGAGCTGGAAAGGAACTAAGTTCTGGCAAAGGGACCTTCATACCAAGACTAAAGGCCGTGGGAGCCAAATTCTTGATTCCAGAATATCAGCAGGATATGGTGGAAAGTGCCCAGATGGGGAAGGGGTTAAGGCAGAGCTGATTTCTTTCCATTTTGTTTTAAGGCTCAGTGAATTTGTGTCTCTTTACCCTCTCAGCCCAGATAAATATCATGTTTTGATTTCCTTGTGTTTTCTTGTTCAAAGAAATTTGGACCACGATGGGTGTAAATGCTGTCATCTTGCCCCCAAAACAAACACTGTGGGAGAGCCAAGGATGCTTCTCTGGGCTGTTCCACCTCTGCTTCTCCACTTGCAGGGATGGGGAGAGGGGACCTGTCTCCCAGGCTGAAGTCTGTGTTGGGGGCTCTGCTGTTGCGGCTCACCTGCTGAGCAATGAGCATGTGATGGGGCTCCCCACTGGTGTCAGAGGGCACAGCTCGAGCCACCCAAGGGAATGGTGCACAGGGAACTCTCAGGAAAAGAGTTAAGGCAGCCCTGTCAGAAGGCTATCCTGGGAATATATCCTTCCAGCCACAGGAAAGAAGCAACCAGACCCTGAGGACTGCAGCCCAGAGAGATCCAAAGGGTCAGAGTAGCAAAGTTCTGGAAGGGGCAGGGAACTTTGGGACTGTGGGCCCTAGGGGACCCTTGGACCTATACACCCCACTGAAAGGACCTCAAACACCACATGCACATATACACAGTATCAGTGTGAGCTCTCTGGCCTGGCCTCTTAGTGGCACCTGCCTGGTGTCCCCAGTCTGACACTTGGCCTATGGCCGATGGTTGGCTGTGTTTGCTCCACGCAGGCTCCGGGTGGATGTCTGCAGCTTCTGTAACATTGCTCCTCCCCACATCTGGAGCCTATGAAGGGAAATAAAAGACTGTAGCCTTCTCGGTGGGGCTTGGATCTCAGACATCTTCCCACCGCATGTTTCTCATACTCATTGACGTTATGTCTGTGGGCCAGGCTGACGGGGGACTCCTCCTTTCTTGAGGACCCTCAAGGAACGTAATGCCTCAGTCTCTCCCACGTCTCCCATTGAAATGGAGCCAGTATGGTGGAGACTACTCTGGGCTAGCTGATTCCCGTCTATTGCCTCATATATTCCTCACAACAACCTTGAGAAGCAGATGTTATTATTCCCATTTCACAAGTGAGGAAACTAAGATTCAGAGGGATTGGGTAACTTGCCCCAAGTTGGCTGGTAAGCAGTGGGGCTGGATCGAACCCAAGTCTTGATGGGTTCATGGCTTCTTCTACATGACCGCCTTCCCCTGTACCGCTGCTCTTCACTGCCGGACAGGCCTGGTTAAATAATTAAACAAGGTAATGCTTGAAAAGCACTTGGCACCTGATCCATGGTAAGTGACCCTCTAAGAGCACAATCGACACTCAGTGGACCAGAGCTGAAATATGCACAGTTGCCTCAAAGCAAAGGCCCTCAACCTTGGCTGTACGTTGATAGCCCTGAGGAGGGGCCGGCCCCGTGGCCGAGTGGTTAAGTTCATGCACTCCGCTTTGGCGGCCCATTGGTTCCATTGGTTCGGATCCTGGGCGCAGACATGGCATGACTCATCAAGCCATGCTGAGGCGGCGTCCCACATGCCGCAACTAGAAGCACCCACAACTAAAATAAAAATATACAACTATGTACTGGGGGGATTTGGGGAGAAAAAGCAGAAAAAAAAAATGATAGGCAACAGTTCTTAGCTCAGATGCCAATCTTTAAAACAAGTTAAATAAATTAAAGAAAAAAGAAATCCCTGAGGAGCTGGTAAAACTCCACATACCCGGGCTGCACCTCAGACCAGTAAAATCACAATCTATGATAGCGAGGCTCAGATATTAGCAGTTTCTAAATTTCCCCCAGCTGATTCTAATATGTAGCCAAGGTTGAGAAAACCCTGGAGCAGTAGTTTGGTTCCAAGCTTGCCAGAGGACCCTGACCAGAGTGTAACATACGCAAAGAACGTGTCCGTCAGAAGGCACAACAAAGAAGCATTGCAGAGCCTGCCCTGGCAGTGACAATCCGACCATGTCTGGAGCAGAGGACCAGGCCCAAGGCCAGGACACATCAGCCCTGGAGGCACATTAGGCATGTGGATGGAGGCGCCAGGCCCAGCAAACCTATCTCATGAGCAACTGCTGATTCTGATTCGTCAGTCCGCACATTGGTCATGGGAAGAAAATGGGCAAGTCTGTTACAGCTCTTGTGTAAATGAACTAATTGGTGTCCTGACAATAATTGCTTTTGCTTTGACAGTTACTGTAAATGAAGATTAGCCTGCAGGGGTTACTCTCGTAAATTTCAATCTTCCCTGAAATATGATCCCATCCCCCTTGGTGAACTAATGAATTCTGATTTAGGCCCCTCCCTTGGACTGTGGTGAATTCACCAAGAAACCATCGTGCGGTATCCTGGGAGGCGTCATCAGACTCCAGACACAACGCGCACCAGCCTTGCCCTAGACTTCATGTCTAACTTTCTGAGCAGAGACTGTCTGTAAGTGAATGCCCACCTTCCTTCCCTACCCACTCTATAGTTTTTCCTTGGCTAACTGCCCCCTAAAATCTTCAAAGCTACCCACTCTCTGCAGGCCGTATTAGGTGGTTCACAAACTGGTTTCAGCACCCCCCACCCCCACCGTGCTGTCCTGCACTCCAGATGCCCAGACAATGTGCCCTTCCCCAAACAGGCTGTTCCCACCGACCCATGCCTCTGCCCATGAGCTCTCCTTCTTCCTTCCCCTGGTTCCTTCCTCCCTTCTTCATCTGGTGACACTTTATTCATCCTCTAAAACCCGACTCAGATATCGCCCCAGCCCAAGCAAAACTAGTTGCATTGTTCTCCCCACTCCCTTAGCACTTTGGACAGAACTCCACAAGGGAGGTTCCTGTGCTGAACTCAGTTCTTATCTACATGTGTCCTCCCTTCACTCCTCATCAGAGAGCCTGAGCTCCCTAGGGCAAGAACCATGTCCTGTTGGCCTTGGTAGCCTGGGGCCCAGTATGATGTCATGCCCTTT